AACTGTACCTGACACGAGCCTGCTTCATTACGAAGTATTTCCTTTTCCCCTAAGACCTGTCGAGAACAGACAGATACTTTACCATTCAAAGCTGATGGTCATTTGGCAAGTCTGGCGCAATATCCATTACTGGATAGAATATAATTCTGTATATGATGGTCAGTCTCTGTGGGGGTCTATTCATCAGGATGAATACTCTTACTCTTCATAAAACTAATTATTGTTGCAAGACTCAGTGTCCCGCACACTGGTCTGGCAACACATTTGTTGATGAATTTATTTTCCTATTGTGATTCCTAAGATAATTAAGATGTTAAAGGGTTTTTTGTTGGCCCAGTGCTTTGGTCCAGAGTGAAATATTGGAACCATCATTGGATTAATTGGATTGGTCTCTAGAGGATGAATTTTATTGGTCTCTAGAGGATGAATTTTATGTTACGTTCAGCTCGTGGGCTGAACGCTGGTAACAGGAGTTTTGGGCTCAAATGCACGCACTGGAGAAGAGCAGATAACTCATATGTGATTTATTAAACCAAACTGAGAAATTACAAAACATAGTCCAATAAATGTAGCTTGCGAAAAGTCCAAGTGGCCAACAGAAAGTAAAAATCCACAGCGAAACACAGGGAACAATCCAAAAACCATGAACATGGGAGAAACTGGGGCGCAGGAAGCATAAACCGGAGTGAAACAATGAACTGGCACTGAATGAACGGAGTAAACCACTGAAATACACCTGAAGAGAAGAATATAATCACTGACACCACAGACAATCAAAGAGACAGACACAGGAAGTAAAAGAAGTCAACACACGCTAGGGGTAGACAAAAACCAACAGGAAACACGAAGCTCACAGAAACATACAGGGAAAGAAATCACAAAATTAAACAGAACCATGGCACGAGTGTCCTACCAACAAAACATGTTCAAAGGCAAAGAACACAGACATTTGAACAACCAGAACACTAGGACAGACCAAAATACAACATAACACAGGAAACACACACACCAACCACCCAACCAACCAACCTTTAACCACTTATTCTTTAGCCTACGGGACGCTACCGCTATGTAGAACATTCATGGACTGCTGGTACTTTTGTAAAATATGTATCATTACATTACACTGAACAATGACAATCACAAATAGTTTATTGGTAATTTAGGCGGATTAAAGAGTTAATGACTTTTGTGATTTTTCAGCTAGCATCACCAATATGTCAACATTTACTTATGTCTAACACTTTTTTAATAATATACCTCCAAAACTAAAGACAAAAGTCTCTGTTGTTGTTTTTTTCTTGCTCCAATCACAATCGATGATGGTGCATCATCTATTTTAATGCAAAAGTAATTATTTGCAGTTAATTGGTATTACAAAAGGGATTGCTCTATGGAAATCTGTTGACATACTTGGCCCCATATGCTTGTTTTTTTAGATTAAGCCTTTTTTGGTTAAATGTTTTTCTACTTGAGCTGAATTACCACTGCTGTGAGAGGCCCTGCGTGTGTGTCTGGTGGCACTTCAGGGCTAAGCTGTCTTTGTGTCTCTGTGTGACACACTGCTGGCAGAAGCTATTCTAATTAGGGCTGTGATATGTGTTCTTATGTGTAGGTCTATTTTCCTTCACCAATCTCGGTTTGTGTTTCGTCTTTGCCATGAATTCAAGTGTGTGTATGTATGGGGACACACTTGCTCGTCTAGTTGTGTGTAGTAGCGTTGACTCAATTCTCTCTTCCCCCAAAAGACCAATCTATGAAAACTGACCTAATGTAATAAATCATGAAATTAGTCTTTTTAATTGGTATTGTTTGATATGATGAGTGCCATGTGTATCTATTACCCTTCTCATTTTCCAATTAAACACAGTGCATTGTTCCCTATTGGGACTGTCACAGTGAACAATGCACTGATAAGTTTCTAGAACTCAGTCTGTTGCTGTCGAAACATCTCTGAATGGGTGAATGAGGCTTTTTCTCATTCAAAGTGTGATAAGTTTTAGCATGTAATATCACATCCTTTATCTGGGCTGCAGTCAGCATTAGAGCTAAAATGTACTTGGTTGATTAATCAATTAGTCAATCGACAGAAAATTAATCGACAACTATTTAGATAATCGATTAATTGTTTTAGTAATTTTCTTAAAGCAAAAATGTAAAACATTGCTGGTTTAATCTTCCTAAATGTGAGGAATTGCTTTTATTATTTTGACTTTAATTCATTTATGATAGTAAATTAAGGTCTTTTGGGTTTTGGACTGTTGGTTGGACAAAAGAAGCAATCTGAAGACGTCACTTTGGAAAATTGTGATTGCCTTTTCTTTCCAATTTCTTGACATTTTATAGACTCAATGATTTGTCAAATAAATGTGAAAATAGTTGTCAGATTAGTTGATAATGAAAATAACTGTTAGTTGCAGCCCTAGTCCGCATAAGGAAAAAACATCTTAGACCCTCCTCTCCACTGGTTTCCACAATCACTAATATGTCATCTTTGTTAAAACTTCTGTCATCTATCCATAAATAAAAATGAGTACAATACCTATGAATCCCTCCCTATGCCAACCTCAGGTCCCAGATCCCCAATAATTTGCTCTATATGTCTAATTATACGTACAACTTACCCAATGTGGGATAATTCTCTTCAATTCCAGAGTGTGGGATGATAAAATTTGCAGAATTAAAAAATTATATATCACACTGCATTCAGCACACCTGGTGTAACTGCATCCACACCACTGGCACTGCACGCCGGTGAATCACTTCTGGCATACAAATTATTGACAAACTGCGTCCCACCATCCCTGTCACTTTGCCTATCAGGACTCACATCCACCATCAGCTTAGATAAGACACCTAAGCCATTACTCATCATGGCTCTAATTATTTCCAAGAAAACAATCTTCATGAACAGGAAATCAGGAAACTCCCTAAGATCCAAAGAACTCCGATGAACTTTGGTTTCCGAACTTCAGCCATGTTTCATTTGTCTAAGCGAGAGGGATTACTCATCATGTGAGTGTGTGTTTATGCAGAACGATTACACATAACCATAGCGCTGTCTCACCAAGCTCTCTGTGACCTGGAGGAAATCCCACTGAGAAATCAGGATAATGAGACCTTTGAAAATCCTCAAGGCTGTGCATCCAAAAACACCCACCTTAGGAACCTCTGACTGGTTTTTGGTTGTTCATGGTCTCCTCACGTATCACTTTTTTGGTCTCATTTTTGTGAGTTTAAGGTCAGGCTATGCAAGAGAAGGGGTTCATTACCCCTCAAAATATCTAGATATGAAAATTACATTTGTTGTGGTGAGCATATCACTGTTGTTACATGAGCACGAGTCGGCATTGGTTCCCCACTCCATCTCTTTTAGCTATTTTCTAAAAAAAAAAAAAACACGCAGCACCGCTGATGATTAATGAAGAACTGAAGGTAAAATTGATATACACCTACATAAATTGCAGCTTCAATTGAAAGAGAGAGACAAGCTGACCGTGTGCCACGTCGGCATTGACAGCCAGGTGATCCTTCATTTCAGATGAGCGATATGAGATAAGGAGAAGCATTTTAAGTTCACACTTAAAAAAATAAGGGGAGATTTAGCATGAACAGCAAAATTTAAAAAACCCAAAAGGCTATGCTTAATACTAACCATCATGTCAGAGAATATGTTCAATCATCCAGTCTCTCAAAGAATAATTTCACTTACAAAGAACTAGGCTTGTTGTAGGGCATATTACTGATGGTGCAGGTGTTCGGGTAAAAACATGCCCCTGGGTGATAATTCATGTGACAAGTCTTGTTAAATTGCTTTTGTAAAATGCTGTTGTGAGTGTTCCCACAGATTTGGTGCATGTCGTCATATTTACTTAATGTCAAAACGTTCGCCAGGTTTAATTATGAGCTATGAAAAGGGCATCAATAAGGAAGGTTGCCCTTTACTGGCATACTTTGGTCATGATGTGTTTTGTGTTTTCATTGATTGCTTGTCAGTAGACAAATCATTGGGAGCCAGGCTTACAACGGCAACAGGACTGTTTAGATGACAGGGAAGATGAGATGGCAGAGAGGGTACCTTCTCTCAAATCCTGGCCTGTCTTTCTTTGTTCCTTTCCATATCTATTAACCTGTCTCTGTGCCTGTGCCTTTGTCTTGGTTTTGAAGGCCTAACTCAAAGGTCGCCTCTTAAATAGCCCCTTTTAGCATTGTTGGCTTTTCCATTAGAAACTGTAAATGTTGCAATTACTTTTATTTCCTGTTTTAAACTTGAAATTGTTTTTGAACTTCCTTGTTTACTTCTTAAATTCTCTTTTACCCTCTCTGCTTCTTCTTTGCTTTTTTGGGTTAGCAAGACAGGCTAATTAAATACTTTTATTTGATTTTAAATCATAATAAGTATCTTGACACCAGATGAACCTGAATGCGCCAGATCAACTATGTTTCAATTAAACTGAATGAAGACATTTTCTTTTTCCTCGAGTGAATTTGTGTCTTTCTGAAATAGAATTCTTAAATTTATACCCATGGTAATAAAACCTTCCTCCTGGCATTCATGAATAAAATGACCAATCCATTCCCACTTTTCTCCATATTCAGCAAATGGGCCGTATAAAAGCTTCTTCTAATATATGCATTTATGCCACAGGAAACGCTCTGAAGTCAGGGGCCGGACTCTTTTATCTCGCTTTCACCATCTGTTCAGGGGTATATAATCCTGAATCACCAGCATTTAACCCATATGAACATTCTACTGTGTACCTTATGGCTGCGGCAATGCAACAAACTTGTAGCGTAAGGTGGCACATGATGTTTCATCGTGCTGAACTGCTGACCTCCCTCCCCCTCGCTCCCTGCATGTCGTTTCCTAGGCAATCCACTCAGTTGCCTGGCATCACGAGGGCAAGCAGTTCATTTGCAGTCACTCAGATGGGACTCTGACCATATGGAACGTCAGAGGCCAGGGCAAACCCATACAGACAATCACCCCACACGGTAAGGAGGAAACACACTCAAAAACAAACACACACCCCTCCCTAATTCGCTCATTTACTTCCACCTATATATTAATCTGTAGTGTTTAATGTTACTTTGTGGGGATTCTGGGAGGGGACTACTGTATATAGAGGATAGATTTTGCACCCAGAATTTGTTAACGGGGTAAACATAGTGCGCTATACAGTAAATGGGAAGTGATTTCAGACATAGCCAGATGCATGACACAATATTTGAATGGACCTCCATCCCAACATACTGGAAACATATTGTAATTCATTCATTTTGGTTATATGATGCTTGCCTTTGGTGTGGGAGACCTGGGTTCGATTCCCGCTGTGACCCATCCACCATTGTGTCCCTGAGCAAGACACTTAACCCCTCGTTGCTCCAGAGGCGTGCGACTTCTGACATGTATAGCAATTGTAAGTCGCTTTGGATAAAAGTAAATGTAAATGTATATATTATTAGGGTCTTATCTTAACTGATACTAATTTTAACTTTACACTTAACTGTATAAGGTTGGGTAATTAATATGGTACATAATAATTAAGAACCCCATACTTGATCTTTTTCCTAACATAAAGTAGTCATAAAGTCTTTCAGCAATAGTAGTACAATTGCCTTGTGCTGCGCATCATTTCTATGGCTTAAGAAAGGAAAGAAAACAAATCTGAAACATCCATAACAGTTATTGGTCAATTTGGACATCAGAACTTCCCTTTTGATGAAAAGCAGGTAAAACAAATACTTTAAATATATGCCAAGCCAAAACATATGCCATATACCTTTTATGGTATTTTACCTCACCAACAGAAATCATTTTAATTTATTTACTACTCTTTTCTTTGTTTCTTTTTCTTTCTTTCAACATGTTCCTATGTCTTGCATCTGTCTTTTTACCTGTATGTTTCATCTTTGTATGGCATCTTTTTGTATGAAATGTGCTATAAATAATGTTTTATTATGTTATTATTATCATATTCTGAGATAAACTGGTTGTCTAAGGAAAGTAACGAGACTCATTTAAATCAGTGGTTTTCACGGTGGGGGGGTTGTGAGATGATTACCTGGGTAGGAAATAAGGGAAAAAAATTTTAAAAATCTTTAATCATTGCTTCTTTTTGAAATATTGAATAATTTTATTTCTTCAGGGATCTAAAACTTCAGCTGAAACAATATGAGACAAGAAAATCATCCACAGATTGAAATGCTTACAGCTGATAGACATGCATGTGTTGAGGGACTGCAGGTAGACATTGCTTTCTATTGGGCCATATGGAGACAGATGTATCTATTTCTGTTGGTTATTGCATCAAAAAGGCCACTGATTACTTTTGGGGTCTTATCATATAGCACAAGTTTTACAATACATGATATCAGTGCCTTCAGCCACCTCTGTCAGTCACATGACCCAGTCTATACTCATCAAAGCCATGCCTCAATAGTCTTCCTACACCTGAAATCCTCACTGTTTCCTCATTTCAAGATTATTGTCAGGTCAATTATGTCCTGCCTCTGTTTGCTTTATTTTCAGTCTGCACATGCATACATTAGTGCTGGAGCTCTGTTTATTTCCTGCAGGAAAGAAAGCCTGCTCTTTAGAAGATGTATTTTAATCCATGCCCCTCTTTCTGTGTGTGTGCAACACATGGACAGAGAGAGCATGGGAGTCAGTAAAAGGAACAAAGAAAGGAATGAAATGAAAGGGAAAACTTCTAACCAGTTTCTCAAGCCGGCTTTGTGTGTAGGTTATTGTAGAAAGGATTTCACCACACAGGGTTTTTAATTAGTTGTTTCTCCCACTGCTGCTTACACAATTAGTTTGGTATTTAATGGACATTTATGCAAATTCCTTCGGCAGGTTTAATTAAGGCTTAAAGATCTTTCTTTAATTGTCATTTTAGATGTATTTATTAAAATGAGTTCTTTATTATACAGATCTGCCTTCTATGACCTACCTTAGGGCTCACTTTGGCTCTTCAGTAAAAGCTCAGATACATTCAGTAACTTACTGTGCATTCTGATACAAAACTATGTTCAGGTAGGCAAACATACGATGGATGTGCAAATTCCCTTCACCTCGTTTCAGGTTTGAATAGATGGATTCTGTTAATCATTCATGTTCGTCACTCCTTTGCATGTCTCTGCCCCTGCATTTGTCTGTCTCCTCTCTGATGAATTGCCTTTTGTTATTGCCTGGCTACTGTTCGGAGCTGCATTTTAAGTGCAGCTTCCGGGAGAGAAAAAATGAGATGACAGGAGAAACATGAAGACAGGAGGGGAAGAGGGATGAACTGGCAAACTAAAGTAACTTCTGTTTATTCTATTTTAGGAAAACAGCCCAAGGACGGAAAGAAGCCAGAGCCTTGTAAACCCATTCTCAAAGTGGAGTACAAAACCACTAGAAATGGGTAGGGTCCCTCTCTCTCTCTGTCTGTCTCTCACACACACACACGCATAGGCATGAATATGCTTAATTATACACAGTTATGGCAATAAAGGCACATCAAGGTTATTTACAGGTGTTAAGGCTGTTGCCAAGGCAATGTGAGTAACACATGTGTTTGTGCTTCAAGCTACGCAGAACTTCAGTCAAAGTCTTTTAATACACAAAGTGTTCTGATATTAAAATAATGTGATGAAGAAAACCCACTCCTCTTGGTGCCCCTGCATTAGCTATCAGGGCATATTGGAGGTCTTTTAAATTGTCAATTAATTGTACAATTTTTAAAGTTAACTCTTGGTTTCACCAGTGAAAGTTAAAGGTTCAATGTGTAATATTTATGGGGATCTATTGACATAAATGCAATATGAAATATACACAACTATGTTTTCAGAGGTCAGTGTTTCAGCAGCAGGGGCAGGACAAACAGCCCCCCCGAAGAAATAGTCACACTTCACAAAACAAATAAACTTACAGTTTTTCCCTTAGGATGGAGTTGTAGCAAAAGTTGTCTGAATATAAAACGCCAACACAACATGTCTCACATTGCTCTTGTGTCCACGAGCATGCGATGCACCTGAGAATAGCTTAAAACTGCAGTGTTTTCCCAGTTTAATGTGAGCTTTAGATGAATGTTTTGGTGTTGGTCGGGGTGTTTGGCGGTCCTCCCCCAAGAAAATTTTTAGTTTTTTTTTAAAAATATGGAATTTCACATCATATTGGGCCATTATTTTCACCATATCTCTGAACAAATAGTTGGAAAAGCTAGAGCAGATAATAGACAACACCCAAAGCAGGCAGTAATAAAATACAGTTTCCAGTTACTTTCAACGCCATTCCTAAAGATCTTACAGAATAAACCGTTATGTTTTTATTACCTTAGAATGAGCCATTTCTGAATACATACACCATGGTTCATCTTACATGGACGTGTTTATACAGTAGCTCGAAATGGAAACTGATTTAGGATTGTGGCAAAACCTGACCATATTTACAGTATATTTGAAGTGTTTTAATTTATGATATTAGTGGACATCTGTAGACCAGTCAGAATGTAGTATTTTCTGTGCTTATGGTATAAATTGTGTAAACAAAAAGCCAGTTACATTTTTATGCTTGTGTGTTTTTGTTGTGTTCCAGGGAACCCTTCATAATCCTGTCTGGTGGTCTGTCCTATGACACTGTGGGCCGGCGGCCTTGTTTGACGGTAATGCATGGGAAGAGTACTGCTGTGCTGGAGATGGACTATCCTATAGTAGACTTCCTCACACTGTGTGAGACACCGTACCCTAATGGTGAGTTTGTGGATGTGCTCATATGGCAGTCATGTGCATGTCTGTGCACATTACACACACGCACCTTTTTTTTTTTAAATTAAGACGGATTGCTTGCCTGTGTTAGTGTGTTTCTGTAATAAATTTGAAATTTCCCAAGGGGAAGGTTCCTATTCCAGTTTCATTATCCGACACACAGCATATTACATTTTATATCTCTTTGTACGAAATAGCCTTCCATCTAAATAAAATTATTATATTATTGAGGAGTTGACAGCTAAAACAAGTTGGAGTGGAGCTAAATTGGATCCTATATTTTTATGTAATCCAGTATGTAAACTGATGCAGTGTCATCTGGCACATATACAACTACAGGAAGCATTAGTTAATTATGTAAAAACGGTGACTTTGAAAATTGACATTACTGGGTCTCTGGATTACACAATACATATCCGGCTGATAATGTGTATGTGTGCACGCTTAAATCAGTGTTGATGTGTAGCGGAGGTTGATAATCCATGATGATGTGGCTGCAGATGATGCAGTGTGCCTAAATGCAACGTGCACACCCATGTGTTTGAATGGGAAAACAAATGGCAGATAAAATATCGTTAACACATACTAGTACAGGCACAAAAACTAGTAGTTACTGTATGCAGACAAAGACAGAGATGAAGAGGTGAAGTACAACTCATGAAAAGAAATAGTGTAAGTCATTCACAAAAATAAATTTGACCTTAAGCTTGGAGATTAATTCTTGACCCTGAAAATAGCAGTTTGACAAAAAATGTCCTATAACAAGGTCCACTTACTTGTTTTTTCCAAAGCATTCATTGCCTTCCTCAGCAGATGGATTTGTCCAAGTATAGCTCTGTATTGAGCATTTGCTAAGAAAAGCAAAGGAATGACAAAGACATCATTACTTCTTTGTCATTTTGTGTTTGGCTGATTGCCTTGTTTGTAAGTAGTTTGTATCTTTAGGTAAATCAGCAGTGAAAGTGACCATAATTACAGTAGTATTCTCATTTCCCTAACTGACAGACTGAGAGATACTGCACAGTGGTCTGAAGTTGCATAACGATTCACAAGAGAATGTGAATCTCTTGTAGAACAGCGTCAGGGCAGTAAAATGAGAAGGGCAGTGAGAGATGTGGTGTTGTGTGTGTTTCAACCACGGTAGTGCTATGGGAGTCTGAGACCTGCTGCTTTGAACAACAGATTGTGCCCTAAACACCAGTTTGCATTTACACACACATATGGCTATAGTACATCTGAATGTCCTCTGTGATAATTTTTCCAAATCAAAGAGAAATGTAGCTACTGTCTAATCATAATGCAAAGGTCAGTGCTTTTTTCTCACTGCACTCGACCCGGACAAAGCTCTAGCGTCGCAGTATATTTAAGGTTAGAAAGGTAGACCTTCTCTTCCCATAAATATTGTCAAGGTGCCTTGTAGCAACGCATTTAACCAGCTTAGCCATTTAGTGGCCAAAAATAGAAGACAAAACTGGGTAGCTCTGATGTGATCATCAATCTGTGAAAGTAGGGAATTCCTTGCATACATTCATTTAAAAAAATGATGTTATTAATAATGATTATTCATTTTCTTAATATTCTGTTTGTATTCACAATTTTTCAGTTCGATCTGACCTCCATTTATTTAGTCATGTTATTACTGGATGTGCGTAACCCTCATTTGAGTATTTATCGCCTCTGTAATGTTGTAAGACTCTGACTGGAATCAGAGGGATGTGCAAGTAGCTTTAAGGGCAATCATCTTGAGGTTGAATATTAAATTCCACTCCCAAATCAGACTGATACAAATATTTAACCAGAGCAATATCCCCCACACTTCTAAATCACATAGTTTAATAAATATTAAGCGTTCACATCTTCAGGGCACAGATATGATAATAACACTTGCCATATAAAGATGAATTCTTCCCCTGTGGTTTGTAGATTTCAGGGGAGTTCTCTCTCCAGGAATTAGACTAAACTAAAAGTGTGTGGCGTGATGAATAACTTGTCTTGCTTTTTCGCTGTGCAGATTTTCAGGAACCTTACGCTGTGGTGGTCCTTCTAGAGAAGGATTTAGTGGTGATCGACCTTGCACAAAATGGGTGAGTCTGACTCTGTTAAATAACTCTTCATCATCATGACTTGTTTCATAAACGTGGGCTAAAATATCACAGCTGACCTAAAAGTGCCCGTTATCTTCGTATATTTGCCTCTAGTTTACATAATGATGTAGCTTACTCACATAAATCTTATTATTTAGTTTGCATGCAGCACTGGACAAGACTCAATGCACTGATACTGGGCAGACGGACTAATTCAATTTAGAGTGACTTTGTCTGTACTGTCTTGTTAACAGTTATCCCATATTCGAGAACCCCTATCCTCTGACTATCCACGAGTCTCCTGTGACCTGCTGCGAGTACTTTGCCGACTGCCCTGCGGACCTCATACCTGCACTTTACTCTGTTGGCTCGCGGCAGAAACGACAGGGCTACAGCAAGAAGGTACTACATAGGAAGGCTCTATGTTGTACAAAAACATATATGCATATTTTATAATCTTTCATCTATTTAACCACATCAGTGGTAAATATCCAGCTTTGGATGGAGAACCTAAGTTTTTAAGAGCAGGGACTTCTTTCCAGTTTCTTCTCAGTAGATGGGAAGCAATGCAATACAAAACCGGCATTTTATAGTAGGGTGTATTTTAAGTTAAGTAGGGTAGGGAATAGGGCTGGGCGGTATATCGTTATATGAGGTATACCGATATAATTTCAAAAGAGATATGAAATTAGACAATTCCGTTTATAACGATATAGTTTAATGTTGAGTTAATTAATGTCTCTGTAAAGTCCTGCCAGCGTTCGCCCCTCTCAGTCCCTCACCGCGCAGCCCCGCTCCTCCCTCTGCGTCTGCACGCAGCCGTCTACTCACAAAGTCTCTAACAAGATGGAGGAAGACACAGTGCTGTTCAACACTGTTAAAGACCTGGCTAAAAAGAAAACACGGTTCATTGTTTCCCACACATACACTTTACTTACGCGGTTTGCCCAGGTTAGGAGACCCATTGTAGCATTTATCAGAGAAACACGGTGATTACATTACAAGTCGTGACACGGTTTATATGGACAGTGAACACACCAGCCAGATGTTATTTGTTAGCTACCACATTGGTTTTGTTTTGATAGGCTATGTAGTGGACCTAAAGTTATTAGTTATGCATTTTAATAAATTTATGAGAATTGATACCCAATTATGAATTATTATTCATAAAATCAGAATTTCCTCGTAAAGGGCACCACCGGAGTTGTTATAATCCTAGAGTCTCCGGACCTCTAGGTAGTTTTGAATAATTATACAATTATTACTAGTGATCAGTTAGTTAATAATCGCTCAATTATCTTAAATCAGTCAGTCAGTCTCATATCTAAAGGGTCAATTCTCTTGGCAGGAACTATAAATAGGCAACACACACAGCTCTTGATTATATTACAGTGAATTTATTCTCTAACTAAGGTGATAAAAAGATGGTTGGATACAGGGAACATAAACATTTGCTGAACAATGAGCCTGGAGGTTCGATTGTGGGAAGCATTTGACTCATACGGCATAGAAGAACTAATGAAAGTAAACTAATGCTCTAGTTTAGGAGTTAAAATGGACATCTGATCACAGAACATGTGTTAAGTCTTACTGCTTGTCGACAGCCTGCTTTTGGCCTGTTGCACGGGTCCCACGCTAGCTGCCCGATCCTGGCTTTTTGCTAGGGATTCTTCGGGGTTCTCCGTGTCTGATTGAAAAACCTCCTCCATCTGGCAATTCGGCTGTTTGCTGGTTTCCTTGGTTGTAGCTGGCGAGACCACGTGGCTTGGTCTGACCTCGGTGAAGTTGGCTCGACGAAAAAGGCTTAAAATGGAACTTGGTCGTTCCTGAATTAGTCCAGTGTAACTTAACAGACTGATAACTTTAACAAGCAAAAGAAATAAAGAAAATAAAACAAACTGAAGGCAGATCGATGTCTCGGCACTTCAGGTGTGTAGCTTCAGGCGAACAAAGGCTTGTTTGTTTCGCTGGCCGAGTCTGGGCGTGTGGCCTGGCGAGGCACGCTACGCGCGTGCCGAAGCATCCAGAGGGCCGAGTGGAAGAGCGAGAGGAGGGAAGAGTGAAGAGTGAAGAACGCGAGCAGGTCGCGTGTCGCTCTTTTGTTGTCTGGGGCGTGGTTCCCAGGGGCGTCTCAGGTTTCCCAAGGGACTGCCTTTCCAAACTTAATGTCTAAAGAAAAGAAATCTATTTGCACGTATTATAATCAATATTTTCCACAATCGAACCTCAATGGTTGAACGGTTGTACTGTTCTAGGCATTTGGTAAATTGTCACATTATTGGTCAGGATTTTTATACATTAACCGCATTTCCGACGAGGGCATGTAATACTTATTTCGTCCACTTGGGGGAGCTCAGGTTACATGATGAAAGCTTGGATTAAATCAAAGATCGTCTCTCCTTAGGAACCGGGGAATATTGTTGATTCATCCTTAAATTCAAGCTGGCGATTAAGAGTATAGTAAAACATTTCTTTGTCATCATTTCTAAAGGGATTTTGTAAGAAAGTATTATGAACAAGCATTGATTACATTAGATGAAGGAGTGTCTTGCTGAAAATAAAAACATTGCACAAGTAACTTCTTTCAGCACTAATATCAACAGATAGCAACAACAGTTAACATAACTACTCAAATAGAGGCAAACATATTCAGGTAACTAAAGATTTAATTAAATTTAATTAGATGCTTTGAGTCTTTGAGACTGCAGTCCTTTGTCATCCAAAGTTCAGTGTCTGGAACATGTCACACTTAGGTGGGACAAGGAGTATCCTTTTGATGTGGTAATAAAACAAAGAATAAGGTCAGTTTCCACGGAAACGTGTGTGGTGGGGTAAGTTTTGATAGGCTGTTCAGGGAGATGCCAATGGCTGGCTCGTGTCCCTTTGTCAGTTTAACAGTCAGGCCCCGCGTTATCAGCTTCGGAATCAAAATGGTGCCAGTTTTATGGTCGGGCTAGCACTTAGAGAAAGCAACTTTGACCCCTCCCCATCTTCTCTGGGGAGGAGAAAGGAATTTAGGGTAGCTCCACATTTATTCCATGAAAAATGCACAAATCCACACTGTTGTTCACTACAGCTATATCGTCAACACGCCTCCTCAACATGCAGCTCAGCAGCAGCTGTGAACGGAATCACGGAAAGAAGAGTCCAGAAGACAAGTTTTTTCCGGTGACTTACTTACAGCTTAACCTACTACTGATAAAGAAAACCGAAACAGACATACAGGGAGAGAGAGACGGTAAAGCCCCTTTTCCACTGCATGATACCAGCCCGACTCGCTGGTTTTCCATTATGTAAAAGTTTTACTACCTGCTACCAGGTACTTTTCGCCCAGCCCTAGTAGGGTAAAATGCTTTATTTTACAGGTTCTTAATAATCTTTTGGATCTGAGAAAGTCTCCTGGTAGGACTTATGTAATTTGGTAGAAATTATATGAAAAATAGGATTTTCTTTGAAAGAAAAGCAAAATTTGTCATTTGAGCATGTTAGTATGCTGATGTCAGCTTCTAGCTCAACGTACCGTTGTGCTAGGTACAGCTATGCAGAGCCGCTAGCATGGTTGTAGACTTTTAGTCTTTAGTTCATATAATTAGTAAAGAAAATTAAAAATTTTGGAAATCGTAAGGATATTTGGAACTGTGAAATATGCGTGACTCTGTCACTACAGAAAATAGCTAACTGCTCCTTGTCATCGTTGATTTAAACAATTTAAGGCCATTCTTATGCAGGAGCAGGCAA